CAAGTTTCATTGAAATGTGATGATTAGTACTTGAGATATCAGTGGAAAAACCGAAAATTGACTAATCATTATGCAAATTAGGTAATTAGTATCCACGGATTATTACCAAAAACTAATCAAAACCTAGCATTAGTTCAGAGCATCTATGTACCAAGTTTCATCAAAATCCAATGAGTGGTTGTTTAGATATCAGTGGAACAGTCATGGAACCACTAAAAAATAGCTAATTATCATGCAAATTAGGTAATTAATATGCACGGATTTTTACCAAAAATTAATCAAATCTGCGCATATGTTCAGAGCATCTATGTACCAAGTTTCATCAAAATCCAATGAGTGGTTCTTTAGATATCAGTGGAACAGTCATAGAACAGCTAAAAATTAGCTAATTATCATGCAAATTAGGTAATTAACGAGCATGGATTTTTACCAAAACCTAATCAAATCTGCGCATTGGCCCAGAGCATCTATGCACCAAGTTTCATCAAAAACCGATGTATGGTTCTTGAGATAGCAGTGGAACAGTCGGACACACATACACACATACACACATACACACATACACACATACACACATACACACATACAGACACACTAACTGCAAAGACTCCCATTTTGTGCTTCGCACATGGGAGTCAAAAACCGATGTATGGTTCTTGAGATAGCAGTGGAACAGTCGGACACACATACACACGTACACACACACAGACACACTAACTGCAAAGACTCCCATTATGTGCTTCGCACATGGGAGTCAAATACTGATTTTAAAATGGCGGCCAATGTATGCAAAATGCCTGTCAATCACAGTTTGAGTAAGCATGCATAATAAGCATTTATTTACTTAGTGGACAGAGGTGGAGTTAATTACCCATGAGCATGTGGTGCAATTTATGCAAGACGGCTTCATAGAATGAAGATGTGTACCAACTGAGCAAATCCAATCGTTTTGTTTAGTTTTTGAATATAACTAATTTCAAACAAGCAGTTGGATTTATTAATTATTTATTAAAGGGCGACAGTCGTCGTGCCACGTCCTGTTCGATATGGGACTCATAGCACTGTATACAACGCGTGTAAAATACATTGTTTATTTACATGAAATTCAAACACTCGCTGCGCGACGACCACCACGCTTTAAGTATGTATATGCGTTTGTTGACTTGACAGTGCATTCCGGTACTATATAAGGGTTGCATCAAGGTCTCCAAAAGGCACCATCTATTTAAATCCATTTTTCTCAAGCGAACTCAAGGGATTATGGTACAGAATAACAATTTACCAGGGGCCCAGATTTAATTGTCAAATACGTCCACATCTTGAGAGGCTAAGCCTTTCTCTGATGTTTTTTAAACGTCTGTTGCAAAAATCAAACGATCTGATTTTGAACTTGAATTTCTTTATTTCGTAGCTCACATCGAAAGGCCGATCTTTGACAGGGGGATATTGGGTTTGAATACCCTTACTTCATCAAAATTGACCATCATCAAATGTGTACAGCGCATTATTAAGCGTAGAAATATCTCAAGAATATTTTCTAGTTTGTTGAATCCCACGTGATGTTTGTCACCAATACAATGCTATGAGTTTTGTTTGTCCTGTTTTTACGTTTGATTTCATGCATAACGCGGGATCTTGCAGTGAAAGGAAAATGGTCTATTGAACTGGGTTGAAATTTCATGATGAAATTTCCAATTTTGAAGCTGATCATATAAAAATTTTATTTATTGTAACCACAGAAAGAAATTTCAAGTGAATATTAACCAATATCTTGGAAATTATATACAGAGAACATGAGACAAAAGCAAACTTGATTGAGATTCCAAACTGGTTAATATAATAGTTTGAACGAAATTGGATGAAAAGTTGGGAGTCCTTGTAACCAAAAGTAAATGTTTTAGAATGAAGACAACAACAACAACAACAACAACAACAATAAGGACAGACATTTACCCCTCATTTACCTTGACCTTCACCTACGATGATACAGACAAGATAAACAAAAAATTCAAGTTCAAAATCAATCAAGTTAAAAATCGTGCCTTGCACACAAAATGCAAAATCTCAGTGAACATGAATATTTACCTTCACAACCTCCACTGATTGACCTATATCCACTACCACAACCACTTTCTAATGCATTGTTAGGTCTCCATTTTAGTCCCACACATATTTTTTTATTGGCTAACTGATGCTGATCAGGAGGACAAATACATTCATAG